AGACAGAGTGCATTCCGCTTTTCTTCGGGGAGGAAATGCTCCTTTCATAAGAAGTTGAAACCAGCGACTCGGCTCTAACGATGGGTCGACTCGGACATGATCATGAGCCGACTCGGAGAAGCTACTTGATTGGTTCAAAGTTTCCAGTGCCTCATGGCTTCTTGTCAGAACCAGATAACCGCGGTTCCACTACCAAGGGGCTGGCGTTCACAGGTTTGGTTCCGATGACGGGCTGACTACAGGGTCCAATTATTAGCCCTGATGAAATTTACCACCGGAAGCAATCGCTCATCTTGACCTCGATGTAATGGGGCAAATCATTGACGACACCCGCGGGCCGCGCTGGGAATTGATTTTCTGTGTCTGTTCAGAACTCTCTCTGGATTGGCTTCACAAATGCCCCCACGTAGTCGAGGGACAGGGGTTATGACGTTTCGACAGGATCCTGCAGATCTGTCCGGCAGATTTTTCAAGACGGACTAAGGATTGAAGGAACAAACGCATCAAGGATCGTGCAGTGTAATACAGGTGAAGCCTCATGTAACGGCGAGTAATAAGCCCGTGGTACGGAGTAGGCCTACAGTATCTCCAGAGCCTCAATAATATGTGTCATAATTTTCTTCTAGTGGCCTGGGGCCGCAGACAAGCGAGTCGTTATTCAAGCCGGGGACACTTTCTTTTTGCAGATTGAATGAGAAGGATTTCAACAAGAGATCCATTTCAGTCCTGGGGCCCCAATTTTGACGGGGAGTTCGGGAAATGTCCGGATCCTGAGACTCTCACTCAACATCGGCTCAACTCAAGGAATTGCACCGACCAACAAACAAGAAGCTACCTGAACCAAGAGGTTTACGGTTGGATCATGATTGACTTTGCTCACGCGCAAGCAAGGGATGACCTCCACTCGGTTCCAGCTTGCAGCCGCAAGAGCGCACGAGGGACCCTTGAGGCTGGATCATATATATGCAACCCAACGAATAAAGACGAGAACCTGTCAGCCTGTCTGGGACTATCACAATGCATAAGTGTGATGAAGACCGTTAACCATGTATACAAGTGGGGGGCTAGCCTAGAAACCTGCACAGAGGTAACAGAGCAGTGCCGTTATTTTGCATCTGACCTTTGGAATGCTCGGTTTTGAGCAGGCGAGGATATCTTTCCAGTAACCTGAGCTTCCTTTCATTCCGAGGCTCAACTGCCGAATTTTAAAATGAAATGTCCCTTGTGCGTGAAATCCGTTCACCGATTATTCGGCTCAGCGCAAGAAACTAGAGTTAGCGAAAACCAAAACAACAGACTTGTAACGATACGGTTAGTTGAGTTATTCGACTGAGCCAAAGAGCCGAACGAACTCCCCGAGCCTGTCCGGAATCGCCACCTGCAGAGCAGCAGAAACGTTGCGGTGGCTTGGCTGATCGTATTTCCACGTTCCATGGCGCTCCAATTTTGCTGTTGTGTCGGGTGAAGCTCCCTGTCGGCTGTGACACCAATGCCAAAAGATGCACGAGTGGAGTGTCTCTTTGTCGCAGTTCATCCCTTTTGAGGTAAAGGAGAGCAAGCCAACCCACGCCGGTGTGATAATTTGTGAAATAATCACTCATTGGGATTGAGGGATTGGTGTTTTGACAAGGACGCCTCACATTCCGAAGCGGAGAAGGGACCGCAAGGAATAAGGACAACCCACGTTTTCAGATGAAAGCGAGAAAATCTGCAGATGAACGACAGGGGGCGGGGAGTTGAATTTCCACCGTGGCTGATGTTTTGTGCCCAATGGCCAATGGGTAGAGTAAAATTATGTACTGTTCACACAAAGAATATTGCAGAGTGCAGTGCTTGAAGTGATGAGTTACCTACAAGTAAAAGCTTATCAACTTCAACAGATATTCGTATCGATTCCTTATGTTCCGTAGAGAAATCCCGTCTTACTTACATCGCAATTTACAGCCTGAACTGTCGTCGCTTGAGGTAGGTAGCTGTCCCCCTGTGACACTTGAGGGCTGGTGTAACTCTCTGGTTGGTGGTTGGCGTGGGGGGTGAGAGGGGAAATCCATGACGGCTGGAACCATCATCTGCGTGATTGTTAAGCAGGCCGATGGTCTGCAGGTGATATGTACGTACTGTACTTGCTCGGGGAAGCTTGGTAATCAGATTCTACACTATGAGCCTATCGATCATGAATACCAGTTGAGGGCTATTCAGTTGCAAAAAGGGCGATGAATTGGGTTCTGAATAGAGTTCTGCAACAAACCACACAGCAACAACAAAGAATAGGTCGCAACCAACATCCTAAATCATCCTGAGATGAGTATTGCGACATTCAAAGACTGTTGTGCTATTCGCCGAAGAGACCCATGTTCTAGGCTCACCTCAATCTCATCGCCAAAAATGCTGGTTCCCATCCATTACAACCCACTAAACCTCTAGGGGATGCCACCCACTATCCCACGGATTGTCCAGTGACTGCCCTCAGCTCACTACCCACTCCGTAGTGGCTTCGGCGGCAATCGGCCTCAACTCGCAAGTCACCTTTAGCATCCACTTTGAGAAAACCGACTTGACTGCCTGTTCTTTCTTCCTCCACTTCCTCCCCTCAAATTCCCCCAGAGTCAACCTCGGAAGACGTTCACTGTTAATTTCGATACTGGACTTCGACGACAACACCACCGACGACCGCTCAAGGACATAACCGACTTCGACAGCCATCGACCTGTGATTGTGGCTGTGACTGTCTTTATTGAGTCACCAGGGCCTCTGCAAATTTGTCCATACAAAACCCCGCTCATTCTCGCTGAGCCGCTTTCGGAACTGGTACCGAACGAAAAACGTCGACCATCGATTGAAGGGACGACGAGGAATTCAAATTGTTATTGGGGAAACCGTTGAAAGAAAGAGTTTTTGACCTCGATCAAACCACCAGAATGTCAAACTTCAACGGTCGTCGCGGCCCCAATGTGTCGCAGTATCTTCGCGACCTCAACGCCATCAACCGCCAGGAGAATGCTCACGAGGAGCCTTTCAACATGGAGGAGGATCTCGCTCTTTTTACCAATACTCAGTTCTTCGATTTTGAGACGAACCAGACAACCGACTATCAGGCTCAACCTCTGAAGGTTGATATCGAGGCTACTCAAAGCACCTCGCCTTCTGATGGAATGACCCCAGCTCCCTCCGTTGTTGGTGACATCAACCCCAGCAGCTTTGATTTCATTCAGGGTGAGTTTTGCTATCTCTGCAGTGTCGCATTCATTTCCCTATGGCCACGCCAGGTTGGAAAAAGCAGTTGGAAGCATGGAAAGTGAGACAAAGATCGAGTCAAGACGGGAGCATTGGTTTTGACACAAAGCAGAGATTTTCTTCATGAATTTCTACCTGCAAAGATGGTACAGATGAGCTGATATCCGTCTTTCTCGTTTTTGTTGTCGCCCATGGTTTTCCCTTCTCTCCTCCAGACGTATGGCCACTGTCCAAGCGGATAGTCAAAATCCTGGCCTCATACACCCTGACCCTGAAATCGGTAATGAACAGCGTCTCTACTGCTTTACTGGCCATTAACCTTACTACCCCCACCTTCCGTTGAGAGCCCTGCTCCCGATGTGCATCACGCCCTTCTGTCATTGGGGACAAGCTGTCCCCCGACGCAAGTCTACTTGAGTGTGGCCCGCCTGGGATCCCCAGCTCGATATCAGTGGCTGGAGGGCGGTGGTGTCTATGGTGCAATATCTCGTGATTTGCTGGCACTGATCACGACATCGACTTGCACCCCTGCACCTCACAACCACTTCCCAAGTTGGGAAAGCCTGCTTCCCCAGGCCTCAAGGGCCTATGCAAGACTATCTGTTACTCTTCAACTCTCAATGTCTACTATCTTCTTCTCGTCTTCGTCATGATACTTGACTCTTCTCGACATCAACTGACCACATAATGATGGCAGGCGATTTTAACTTCCCCGACTTTACTGGCACCTACCCGTCCACTCCTTTGAACGGCTTCGCGGATGGTGCTCAAAACTTCCCATCTATGCAGCCTAACGCCCCCACGGGCTACCAGCCCGTCCAGCAACAGCAACAAGCCTCCCACTACGGTCAGCAAGCTACTCCTCAGCCCTCAACCGAGAAGCGTGGATCTGAGAGTGGCCCTGGTGCCGGCCGCGGAAGCCTCAATTTTGAGGAAGCCTCTCGTCATGCTGCCGAGGAGGACAAGCGAAGACGCAACACTGCTGCCAGCGCCCGCTTCCGCATCAAGAAGAAGCAGCGTGAGCAGGCTCTTGAGAAGTCCGCCAAGGAGATGTCCGAGAAGGTTTCCGTCCTGGAGAGCAAAGTCCAACAGCTTGAGATGGAGAACAAGTGGCTCAAGAACCTCCTTGTTGAAAAGAACGAAGGCAACGACGAAATCGTCACCTTATGGAAGGAGTTTGCCGCATCCAAGTCTACCGACAAGTCCGAGTCAAAAGCTAAGTCCGCCGTCAAGGAGGAGACGAGGTGATCCGTCGTATAGCGTCGGGGATGGCAATACGGTGGCGAAGACGGGCGGCGTTCTGGCTCGGAGCATTTGGGGAAGGCAATGTGGCGTTTAATTCTGATCTTTTCAACAATGTCTGGGATACATGGTGCATGATGATGGGGCACTGAGGCTAGCCATCAAGGCTGCCTTGTATAGTGCACAACCTAAAATATCGCGAGGTTTCGTGAGGTGACGTTCAGTGGATGACGATATGATGGATATACATGGTTGTTTGAAGGCAACTGATAGAGACCAGTCCCTGTGTTCGGATGACAGGACAAACTGGGAGGGCTTTTTTTGTTTTGCAATGATATCAACGGGTATACGATACATCGTTTCCGTAACTACTTTCTCAAGGTTCAACACGTTCAAAAAGTCTATTCTGCCTGTGTCTGTGAGATGAGTCGTAATGTCATCCATTGCATCTGAATTCCAGTATCTTGGTCGCATTATCCGAACATCCGAAGGCTTCTATCATTCCTCGTAGCATTAAATCATCTTCAGTTCTCGGCATTGGTGTCCGACTTTTGCTCCTCTTCCGCTTTCTTAGCCTTGAGAACATCCATCCTCTCCTTGTTCCTCTTTCCCAGCAATCTCAACGTCTGCGCCCTCTCGTGCTCAGTCATACCCGCCCAGTTTCCAATCCTACCCATAGTTCCATCCGTGTTTACAACGAGCGGGCCCATGGCGTCGAGCTTAACAGACTCTCCCACACGAAGAGACGTCACGTCATCGCCCTGGTCTGCGGCGGCGTGTTCTGGGGCTGGAAGAGGAAGTGGTGTCTTGTTGGTGTCCTTAGCTTCGCTGGACCCTGTCTGCGTTTGCTGATCGTTGCTGGACATTGTACTGGAGAAGCGAGGTGCAAATGTAGTGTTGTATAGACGAGTGATTATAAGGCGTGGGAGCTGCTTGAGCATAATGCGGATGAGTTGGTATGACTTCACTCGGTGAGTGAGAGTGCTTTTGAGTAGGCCAAAGCACGGAATTCTCACTATATTATAAGTCTTGTTTGAATTGACAGACTTTTTATGAGTCTGATCGAGCTTGGGGGTTTCTATTGACGGATTGTTATACTGAAAAGTTGAAGGACAATGTCAGAGTGTCGTGGAATAAAGTTAGGCGGAGGATAGAAAAAAATGGAAGCCGATAGAGTAGACCAGCCACTAAGAATCCCTGCGCCAATTCTAGAACTAGGTAGGTAGCCGCTCCATTGTCTTCCATATTCCAGCACTCGAAACAACCAGAATGGATCGAGATTCATGACATAGTTATCTTAAGATGTCTGAAAATGTCTCATCATAGTACTTTGTCGAAGTTTGCCGTTGTTAGGAGAAGCATTACCGTTGTTGGTATGGCCAACAACCAGAACACCACAAACTATAGAGCTACAGTGGGGGACTTGACCTCACATCAAGAATTATCCACAGCGGGTATCGTCCTTTCGGCCATTTTTGCTTGTTTTATAAAGAGATCGGGACTTTTGGGCGAGATGAGCGGGTAGATCTACGCCTCAGTGCAATGTCGCCATCAACCGAACTTCTGATAGGGTTGTCACCTTTAAAAGGCTATTCCAGGGTCTCATCCAAGCGGGAGCAGGGGCGATGACGAGCTGAGCTGGATGAGGGGACTCGAGGGCGGAATAAGGCGTGATAGATGCAGCTGCATAGGTGCGGCGGTCTGGCGTTCATGTGTGTCGTCTTTATGCTCAGCGTGGGGTAACTTGCCAAAAGGGTGCGATGAATAGGTAGAGAATGTTTGTTCAGGTCATGATCAAGTGACAGAGGACTAATTGTGGGTTTCAAGTAACATCAAAGAATCCGAGACGAGGACGATTCATTAGGAAAATAGCGATGGATACAACTGAGACGGTCTAGCTCACCCCTACATCTATAACAGGATGATCTCTTTCAATACTAATTCTCGCGTAACCTCAGCTTGCCTTATTGTTAAGCTGCATGCATTTGCCATGCATAGCAGATATGACAACATATTTGCTGTCTCTGTGAGATAATACTCTGAGGTGTCTCAAAATCGTCAAAGCGCAAAGCTCCTCCACAACCCGGCTCAGGCAACAAAACAACACATAACTCATGTGGTTGAGCCAAAATTGCAAGTAAGTCAAGCATTGATTGTTTTAGGAGACGACTTAGTTGAGCTTTCGGTGCCTGCAACGTGTTAGCTCTATAACTCCTATATTGGTTGAAGTGGAACTCACTTCTGAACAACACGTTCAATAGCGTCCATTCCCATCTTTAGAACGTCCATGCGGGGACCGTAAGAAAGTCGAACGAAGTGATGGCAGGGAGAGTCGAAAAGATCACGACGGCGTGAAGGGTTAAGATCGAAAAAGATGCCAGGCACCACAATAACCTTCTCAGCAAGACAGGCCTGGAAGAAATTGAGGCCATCGGAGATGGACTCGGGAAGACCCTCGAGGTTGAGCCAACTGAGAATCGTTTAGAGTCGATTAAATAAAGACCAAGTAGGAGTGGTGACTTACAGGTAGAATGTCGAATCCGGCACGTACTTGATGATGAATCCCATCTCCCGCAGGCGTCGTACAACGAAGTCACGCTTATCCTAAGAAACAGTGAGCTTTCCGTGTTCTCTTGATGTGCATCTCAGGACCTACTCTGAAGTGAGATTGAAGGTGAATCATCTCCTTCTTGACCAAACTGGGCTCGAGCATAGGAATAGCAGCTTCCTGGAAAGGATGAGAGGCACCACCGTCCAGGTAAGAACCGCATGAACCGATGCTGCAGGTACGTCAGTCATCCATGGCAGAAAAGGGGTATCAATAAAAGTGACTCAAAAAGTTCAGAGAAAATTCAAGATAAAACGTACGCATTGATATATTCTAAAAGGACAAAATTAGTATCTTTTCTTGGTGTGTAGCTTGTTTGGCGTGCTTACCCTTGGGTCCCAGGATCCATGCAATTCTCCAACCGGGCAGACGAAAGCGCTTGGTGAGACCATCAATGATCAGAACATCATCTTCGTCGACGTCATCGACGTTCTCTGCCGCGCTGATTGTCGAGCCATCGCAATTCGATGTGTAGTTGTATCCCGAGTAGAACTCGTCGCTAATGAATGTAGCTCTGTCTCGACAGATGTCCTGGATCTCGGCAAGCTCCGGGTTGGCGATAACACGACCCGTGGGGTTGCGAGGGTTTGAGGTAAGAATGACAGAGGTACCACGAGCAATTTCCTCGGCAATCTTGTCAGGGTGAATGTGGTAGCCGTCCTCTTCAGCCAGAGGGACGGGAATGGCGGCAAACTGTGAGATTTCGTCAGCACCTTACCACCAAGCATGGATTTTTTTTTTTTCTGGTAGAGTAAAACTCACGTTTTTGAAAAGACTCAGCATCTCATTGTAGGCCGTATAGTCGGGCAAGAAGAAAGACAGGTATGAGTTGCCGAGAACGGCAGCGATACGGATGAGACCAGCACGGCCACCAGGGACGATAGCTACGTTCTCCCAGGTGTATTGACTCTCCTTACCCTGACGGTGTTCCTCATTGTAAAGTTTAGCAACCGCCTCTCTCAATGGTTTGATACCAGCGGTAGGACCATACTCTCGACCAGCCATTGAAATGTTGATGGTCTCGGGTCGGGGGAAACAGCCCTCAATGTCATCCTCGACTTCAGGGGCACCCTGGCCAAGATTGGCCCATGATTCAGGATCCTCAAGGTAGCCATACTCAGAGGCTCGCTCTGTACACCAGATAACACCGGTGGATGATCGGCTGGCATCGAGACCAGCATGAGGCATGTGTCCCTCATGAGCATTTCGGAACTGGCGATGAACCTTGGATTGGAATTCTAGCAAGGCATTGAATTAGTATAATGCGATTGGTTACAGTTGTTTTCATACAATATCTCTATCGTTGGGGAGTTGAATTATGACGTTGTGGGGCAGAGCTGTAGCTGCAGCCAAGCTCCTTTATAGCTCATGTAAGGCGGATTTGGAGGGGTTCAGTTTATGGAGGGGCAAAACGGCAGGGATTGTGAGGGACAGAGAGGGGAAGGGCCGCATCAGTGGCGCCGGTAGTGAGAGCGATAAGGCGGGACGGTGAGGGGAGGTAAGAAAACGGTGAAGAAAGATCAATGAGGCTTTCGTTGTTGATTTTTTGTAGACAACTCATCAAGTTGGAGCATGTGGTGTTGAAGTAGCTCGAGGAACTTCTTGAAGACAGAGAGGTGCAACGTTATAGCGAGTAGCGAGAAGCCAAACCCCGGGCAAAGAAGCCACAAATGAGACACAAATGCTTACCGTTGGTTGAAGGCTCGGTCGTACTGAAACGTCGAGTGAGTGTCTTGGGTGCGCCAGTATGGCGGTTGATAGAGAACTTGCGTCCACTGAAAGACATGATGGCGATGTGAGAGAGGGATAAAGAGAAGAGGGTTGATGAAAGGTTGGAGTAGTATTTGATTAGGTAGTAGAGGTGGTGGTTCCTAGCAGGACCAGGTTAGGTAATGGGAAGCTGGCAATATGGCTCTAGTGAGGCCCAGTCATGCAAGTCACAATAGTCGCGACAGCCGGATCAAGATGTCGGCGGGGGGAAGAGATTAGGTATCTAACTTATCTCGAGAAGGGAAGAAAGAAGGGAGAGAGGGGAGGAAAACTCAATGTGGATGTTTACGGGGGATTGAATATAAGTGCAAAAAAACCAGCAACGGCCTTGGTCACTAGGTAAAGCACAGAAAAATTCGGGGGTGGGACCTTTTAGGTTGCCTCTCCAGGTACTGTACCACAGCAGGAACAAAAGAAGAAGAAAAGGAAAAAAGAGGCCATTCAGCGACGAGAGACTGTAAACAGTGCCTTGTCAGTTGGTCTGTGAGGCCCCAGGAGCCAGGTGAGCATTGACCTGGGCTGCAAGGTGAAGGAGGTGGTGAAGAACGGCGCTGCAATTGGATTGGACTGGGCTGAACTGTATGCATCATGCATCACCCGTAACGGAAAACGGCATCTCTAGAGTCAATTCTCTGGCTGCGTAATTATCGTGTTGCGTGTTGAGGTAACCAGAATTCTCCCCAAGATCGAACATGATCGCCAAACAGCTCACACCGAGTGTCCAAAGCAGGACGCATAATCTCTCAAGCATGCCACTATTCGCAGCTTTGACGTTCCATTACAGCGTCAATCCTGGGGTAGATGCCCCCCTTTTCGCAGCCTGATACGACATGTCATGTCGTTTGAAAGTCGAGACGCTTCTCTAACAGATATGCACGTTGCCAGCTTTGTCCAATCATTTGAGCCTTGCCCTACTTTTTCAAGTTTTCTCTTTTTATCATTTGGCCCCCGCGCAATTATTTGAAAGCTCCTCACCTCAATGACAACCAGAGTGACGTACGTCTACTGTCCATAAATGCTAGCTCCAGAGCTCAGGTGGGGGTAATATTGAGGTGAGCATGGAATTCACCTCAGCGTACGGAGTAACGTGGGTTCTCAAAATAATAAGTTCAATTCCTATTATTTCCTCATTTATCTTCTCTTCCCTCATATTCTGCCCAATCTCAACCTGACCGGGACGTTTGAGTCCGGTCAAGACCCGCAAACATTGGCATTGTGACGATCTCAGAGGGTCTAGCCTCGATATCGTTACCTAAAACCCCAGTTTGGCCTCTTCCCTTACCCACAGTGTCTCCGACCCCAGGACAGCGAGTCAAGCTCAACACCAACTGGTCCGGAGCTTGGACTGCCGGCCCGGCCCCCTAGCTTCAACTCCAACTCAAACCATCAACTCCAACACGGTCAGAACCTCAGGCCTGATGTCTTCGTCTATGTGGAATGTCGCGCATCGGATCAAAAGGGAAGCTCGGTGAGAACCCGAGCCTGAAACACTCTAGAAGCTCGCTAGAACATCCAGAACGAGGTATCTTGTCCTGATAGAGCACAAGGAAGCAGCCCGGTTGGTCCCGATCTCGCGGGTCCGTGAGCCTCGAGAGACCACTTACAACTCGTCGAATCATGAGACAGACACGTTACCAAGACATCGTGTGGAACGTTTTCGATACGACGAGGGTTGGTATCTCCATGCTCACCGTGCTCACCTAGACTGCGCCGCGGAACGAGACGGCTTCGCCGTATAACGGCGATGCACGCCGAGACTGCTTTGATTATTCGCGCAAACGCATTAAACTAACAGGCATCATAGCCAGGAGTAATTGGGCTACATAGCAACATTTCCCCAGTAAGAAGTACCTGAACTGACAGAGCTAGCAACACCCAAGTCTTGGTAAGAACTGATATAAGTTGGTGAAGCTCTAGGGTATTCAACGATGCTTGTCAGGTATGTTTACAACCAGGTCCTTTGCTTGAAAATTAGCGTAACAAACATAAGCCAAGCAACGCGAAAAGCAGAAAAAAGGGATAGCATCCAGGATTGTCTATTTAGATTTGTCCTCATACATAATATGCTCATTCATGCGGAGCTCCTGATATTTAATCCATATAAGAATAAATCACCTACTCATTGAACTTTCAGCGGTAGATTTTTAACACGATTATACGTGGCAGACACACCGTATTATCATAGATACTAGTAGACCCTTATATATATGTATGAAACCACCTATAGTACTTAGGTATACATACATACCGTCACTAACTATCACTGCGAGTTGGAAAGAAACCGCTTACATAACATTCTCAGCCAGAGAGATACGGTTATTGTGCACTACTTGATCAAAGCGGGGCTACTCTGCACTCATTCAATCTCCAAGGTGTGCAGCAACACAACTTCAACTTTAGAGGAAGAGATTTCTTCAACATAGTTACATATATTATTATCAGACCAGAAATATTCTTATCCGGGAAACCACACCGCTGCTAGGTTTAAGATAGCCAAAAAAAAACATCACCTTATTGCTCTATAAAATGCTTGACATGAGCAGGACGTGCCTGGTATAGACGCGCTCGTCACGCACAATTGGTAGGTCACATAAGACGCACAATGATTAGGTCACACTGACAAGCAACAGGAAAAATTGCGAACATGTGGCTGCGACAATCGTGCTAAGCTTCAAAAAAAAAAAAAAAAAAAAAAAAAAAAAAAACACCTATTCGTGCCATGAAGGCTTGCCCAATGTTGCGGAAACAGCCCTCCTGTCTGTCTGGAGAGACTGATGAGACTGGATATGGTACAAGAGCGCCAGTTCCTTCTATTTCATTATCAGAGAATCTAACTGACTACCTAGTCAAGATGCCTCTGACGGTGGCGACGAGGAACTGTTTTGAAAACGCTTAAGTCAAGGAAGGCCACGTCGGCGTGGGATAGCCAAAGTCAGGTAGTGATTGCTGCGTACAATCATGAGGACATGCTCGACACCCACGACGAACCTCATCAAGTGCCTGTTTATGGCACTTATTTCAACAAGGTCTCATTCGCGGACAACACGGAAAGCTTCGACCTGAGGGCCGAGCCTTCCAACATCGTGGCGGGGATCAACACAAGCTTCCATGAAGGTTGCACTGTGCCGGGGAGCATTTCCAGGCTTAAACGATCCGTGAAAGATAAGGCCGGGGTTTTCGAGGTGCAACCGGCGCCAATGGCAGACTCGTGCGCCAGAACAACCGACTCCTGCGGTATCTTCCTGTTGAACCTGTTCAAAACCTGAAGGTCAGCGATGACGCCGGGCACCAACCTTCACATCGCACCCTCTACCACAGAAACGGCATAGATACACATTGGATGCATCACGCGACACCTTGGGGATCGTTGAGCCTCCTAGGCTACGGTTCCATGAGGTTAACAAACTAACAAGATGCATTCACCCATTTAGGTTCGTCGAACTCGCGTACAGATTGGATTCAAAGCTTGATGGAAAACTGGCTATCTAGACCGGTAAAGTCCAACAGAGCCGGTTACGAGATCTTGTGGGATCCTTGGTGTCAAAGGTTCCAACTATAGCCAATAACTGGACAATTCCTCTTCTACCTGCTTTTATGCCCGGAACTATCATGAAATGGCCATTGGGTGTTAGCGTTAGGGAACCTCCATCTAAAAGCCTTTTCACCCTATTCCGTCTCGATGATATAAAAACAATTGGGCTTCTAGCATGCCACACTCGCCCTAACCTCACACAACTGGTTGCGATGCCTGAGTTTCTAGCTCGAAGTCATATGCGGACAACGGGGGGGCGGGGGGGCGCTATCAGTATGCTCCTGCTATACCTTGCGACTGTTTTTGGAACCCTTTCCACAAAGGAATTCTTGTTTCTCTCACCGGAGATGCCTAAACAATTGGTCCCGTCTGGAAATAGATGAAAGGCGTCGAGGCGGAGGTACCCTTCGATCAGTCCTTAAAACAGTCCAGCTAGTCCTGGACCGAGCATGTCTAGAATTTCTCAGTAGCAAACACCACAAGCGAGGAGTTCCGTTCTCATCTCGAGACGAGGAATAGCATGAGAGTTAAGTTGGCACCGCAATTGGGAAAGAAGCTCAAGGACTTGGCCTACGACAGGAACAAATGGTGTTCAAGTGGGATGGCATGATCCACGTGAGTCTGCCAAACGTGGGCGACATAAAACCGCTCACGACCAACGGCGCCACAACAGAGGAAAACACTGCCGATTCCAAGGAGCCTCCCGTGTCACCCGATGAGCCTATCGACTCCAAGAATTGAAAACCTTGGGCCTGCACCGAGCGCGCCAATACCACGATGTCTCACAGCGCTCACTGTCCGGACGGTCGACTGGAAATCCCTGATCGACACATTCAATGCAGGGAGGCCAATCCAGGCTGAGGTTTTGTCAATGGTCTAGACCCTGTGGGACGACTTCGGCGAGGAGGTGGCAGACGGCGCCCGTCTTTCAAGGGTTGATCCTAGTGAGTTTGACGAAACAACAAAGGTCCGGCTCATGTTGAGACTTCCCTGTCATTGCACGCTTGACGGACGTTTTATCCGCCGATGACGAGGGTGAAATAAATCTGGTTCAAGCCTGACTCAAACTACCACCTGAGGAGAAACCATAAACTTTAGACCTTACTTGTCTAATCTTAGGATATTTAGCTAAATCTTTCATGATTTTAGGATAATCTTGGGCCTAAATTGAGCAAAGATTATTCCCTTTCTTCACCCTCTCAGCACGGAGTTGTGATGATAATTCGCATGGATGTCCTTGACAACCCATCGGGGATGTTCTCCAAGGCAGTGAATCAGAAATTCTCGTGATTTTGTGAGAGAGTAATCAGAACGCCGGTGTTTTTCCTCCCAAGGGGTGGTTCTTTTGCTGTGCCATGTTAGAGGCATCTTGAGGAACAGTCAGAAATTCTTCCCTGCTTGGGGATGAACACAAGATTATTAGTGTTGAAGACTCAAGAGGTCAGTCTATTTCATGAGAAGAATACAAGCTGTCGTGAAGTGACTGGAAGAGCATCTGAGTTGATTTCTCGCATTCTTCGTTGATGCATTTGTGGGCATGTGCCATGGCATGAAACAACATAGACGAAGGATCTTGATCAAGACTTGATCTGCAATAACAAAGACTCCTGATCTATCTCCAATTTAAAAGTCTAGTGCTAGATGCCGGTATGGTCGAGACTTGGCTGGGCTTGATTAGGCCGAGTTGCCATAGTAGATTAAGGTATGTCATCATTAGGCCCTTGCAAAATATGGGATCGGTTCTTATTGTATCTTGAGGCTCGTCGTCACCAGACCAGAGATGATTCTCCAACATGTCTGACATACAGAACTTAGATAGGAACAATATCCTCTTGGGCTATATTGATAATAGTCTCCTTCCTTATTCAGTCTCGTAGCAGGTTGGCTGAGACAGATTTTCAGCTGCTTCACGAGAAGTTGATTCTCCCTATAGGTTCTTGACTGAGGTTGCCCTTCGTGCAACCTTTTGAAGATCTGCATATTCATTTTCTGGTGGCATGAATCGAGAGAAGCTCAAGGGGACTTGCAGGTTCATAACTAAGTTGCCCAAGAGCTTTGGTGTAAGTCGAGGCAATCCAGAGAGAATATATTCTGGTGCATCCAGGTTCATCGTTGATAACAAGCGTTGGGCAGTCACTTATCGCCGTGACTTGATCATTTATCTTGGAAGCATCAGCCTCGATAACACTGAAAGGTCAATAGACTTATCCATCATGTTCATGGCATATTCGAAGAAATAGATTTTGTTGAAGGTTGAGGGGAAGCGATCACGGAAAAGAAACCCATTGATTCGAGAGACCAAATTTTGGATTTCCTTTAGATCAACATTCCAAATAATAGAAGGCCATTCTTCAAGAGGTCCTGCATATGAAGTACTTAATCCAGGAACGGAATGAGCGACCTTGTGAGGATGTGAACATTCAGGCACGAGGCAACACCGACCTGCACTTTCCAGAAATCATGTCACTTAAAGGGAAGGTGCCCAACCTCTCATACCTTACTTCAGTTGCACCACTCACGACTTTTGACTTCCACCTTTTACTTTTACACATTCAATCTTCTCATTTTGAGAGAGGCTTGACTGAAAAGAACAATCTCCATCTTCGGTAATTCTGAGCTCCTTCAGTTGTATCGCTGGTTGTTCCTTGAAACGCAAAAGAAGATATCTCCTCCAGCACACAAGACTCCGTTGTGTTTTCGTTCCAAAAAGAACCCTGTGAGCGACTCGACAATATCAGGGGGACATTTCAAGAACAAGACAAGCAAACTAAGAGGCGCCCTGCTCCAGACGACGGAACAGAACTCCAACCAAAGCGGCCACGACCATTTAGTGGAATTATAAGACCAGCATCGTCAACAGAGGCCCCACGAATCTTCAAAAAGCAACACAATGGATTATATTGAGCCGGATTTGGAGAGCATCATGATCAAATTGACAGGCCCCCAGTCGATTACAACAGCCGAATTTGACCTGATCGCTCAACACCCTGAATGGTTCACCACGCTTGGCGAACGCGAGCGACTAGCTTTATCTGAGTCCCGCGCTCTTCGACTACTCGAGGCTTCCTCGAGTGACTATGAAGTTTATCCCGGTCAATATGCACAGATAGATCACTATCTCACACGACATGGGCAGTTGCAGCGAATGATAGACGCTTCCAGGATGATGCAGCGTCTTTGGGCTCGGCAGAAGGCAGACGATGAGGAGGCTGGACTGGTCACGCCTACTATTGAAGACAGGCCAGATACATGGACTGAAGACCTGGCTACCTTTGCAAGAGGCTGTCTCAAAGCCATCAGCGGCGAAGCTGTCGACGTTGATGATGATATGGACGGATCACGTTCCAGAACTGAACATGAAGAGGTTACCTGTATGAGTCCTGATCTTCCGGAGATCATAACTTTGTCAACTGAGTTCGCGGGACATATGCGAGATCAGATTCGTAATCTCCCTTGCCGGGCAGTGGAATGGGATGGTCTTCTGAAAATATTGAAAGAGGGGGCACCTGTCAAGGAGGATGTTTTACTCGCCATCAGAGCCATAATGTGTGGTTTGGTGAAAGAGCTTCTTCGTGCCAGGTCAGTGTTGGAAAATCGCATGCGTGGGGTTACTTCCGAGAAACAAGCAATTGTGATGCTTCAAGCGCCTACCCATCTGGCCAGGATGGTTGGTGTTCTGAATATCGAGAAAGATGGGAAGATCGATTCATATGCAGAATGGAAAAGTCTGGAGAAATGTTTCCCTGCCAGGTATAAAGGCTTCTGGAACGATATCGACTACATGTGGCCGATCCTCGCTGATATCCGAGCTTGGAGCGTTGTCAGTCGAAATCTCCACAGGATATACCAGTCAGAGGTATGCACAAATCAAATGGAACTCCTTCTCAAGTTCTCGGTTGATTTGCATACCACCCGATTTGATCGTCATTCAAAGGGCCGTCCTCGCGTCTGAGTCTGGCTGAAAGCCGGCCCATTAGAATCGAACTTTCGCCAACAGTCCAATATTAAGAACATGTACTTCCGAGTCTCAGTCAACTCAAGAGTGTAGGCTTTTGCCATTTTCTTCATGTCATACAGTTAAGTTGTTCTCAAGGCCTCAAATCTTGGGTTTAACGTATGCCATCACAACCTACCAACAACTTTGTCAATATGGAACGAGCACAAGAGTATTCGGTGATGAGGAGATAGAGCCTAGTAGAGTTAATACGAGTGTTATAACATATTATAATCTAAAACAAAGTACATGTTACGTGTAATCTGCTATTATGGGTCTCGAGTAATTCAGCAACGAAGAGGTGATAAATCTTAGTAGATTTGAGGATGACTTATGAGAGGAGTAAAGAGCCTCCTTCCATACATTAGGATACCGAGCCAAACCTATTGCCATATAATCTAAGATGCAGCAAAGGCATATATTACACTAAGAAGTAGAAGGAACTCCGTGTTAAACAGCTTGAATGAGTGGTAGAGAAAAAGGAAGACGGACGATTGATGTATAAAAGAGAGACAACCGGTCCTGGTTACGTCCAATGCAGCACGATCAAGCGTCTCCGTGAAAAGTAAAGAACAAGGAGTAAAGGAAAGGAGTGTAGCTGGCGCTAAGAACCTCCAACACGTAAAGCCCTGGTAGAAACAAAAACGGGTGATGTAAAGACGAGAGCGGAGCCGCATGAAACTTCTGACACTGGAAGAGTAGAAGCATAGATAAATAAATGGAAATAGAAAAAGAATATTAACTCAAGAGCATTACTGAAGCAGGCCGATGATGGCGTATCAGGCCGAATGTCAGACTTGAGACGGGTGTGTTCAGTTAGAGCCTTACTCAGGAGTGTTTTTAGGATCCTTCTTGGGCTGCAGGGGAAGAATGGTAGTCTGCAGAATAGGCATACGATAAGCTCCATTGGGCTTCCTCAGCCAATTATTTTCTCTGAAGAAGTCAAGTTCCTGGCAATATTAGTACACCGTAAAGATTGAAGCGGAGAGGGCGGAGGCACATACAGCAAGCCATTCAGGCTCAACAGCAGTGACATTTGACATATATTGGATCCCAGAGTAGGTTAAGTTTCCAAAAAAATGATGCACTCATGATTAGCTCCAACCTGGTGACCATCTGGGTGGATGCCAGCCTGCCAGTTGGCACGAACGACGCGGTACTGGTCAATACCGGCTGGGTCACGAAAGGCTGAACGGTAGTAGAAGGTTCGGGCCAGAGCTTTTCGTATGTTGATCTCGTAATTTGGATCGATAAAGGGGGTTGTATTGGGCGCTCTCCAATCCGGACACAACAAGTGGAATTGTTCTTTGAGTTGTTGTCGAACCCGTGCGACCTCGTCTAGAACAGAGTGGTTGAGGAACGCATCAAAACACCACTGTCTGATGTCCAAATCGACCCTTTCCTTGTCGGGGAGCTCAGGGGATGTTCGTTGTTTGGTGTGAATGTAGGCATGGAATGCGTGGGGTTGCGCGAGATGGTCTGATGTAAAGTCGGCAAATTACTGTCGGGCAAGATCAGCATAGTATCTGACTCCATGTGGTCGCAAGTAGATGTTGGATCCATCGAGAGCGGCAAGAGCCAGTATTTCAAGGCTACACACAAGTTTGTGAGCTCAAAGCGAGTGGCCTTTTTGTCGCCGAAGTAGTCGATGAACCTTTGAGCGTCTGACGTAGCCAACATGACCACTACTTTGAGGTCGGTACGCTGGGATATTGCCACTCTTAGTAGGCCAAGCAGCATGTCAGTTGCCAATGCACGCTCGTGAGCTTCGTCTATGATGATGCGGGCCTGTTACGATTAGTGACGCTTATTCTCAGCGCAAGGAACCATGGGTAAGAAATTACAAAGTCGTTGAAGTTTGGTTGTTTCCCAGCCACCTCCAACAGTGTTCTGTCCGTCATGTAAAGCAGCTCAGTCCGATCATGCCGAAGTTTGTCAAACCGCGTAGCGAATCCAACCTCTGCTCCGACGTGTACGTCCATCTCGGCGGCAGTACGCTCAGCTGCTGAAGCGACCGCGGTCCTACGAGTATGAGTACAAGCAATCTTTCCATTTCCTTTCCATTCATCGAAGAAAATAAACTGTGGGATTTGGATGGCCCTTTCAGAGCCAGGTTCCCTATCACCATCCTGTCATTCAGTGAGTATATCATATTTCTCCCACTCCCTTTTCAAATTTCTGACGAGGCTCTTAGACATGACTATACACAAGCCTCCGAGGGAGATTGTTCAGCAGTCCATTGCCGATGGCGTGGTTACTAACATTGGTTCCCTCAACTATGAGACCCCAAAAACGGAGGTTCACAAATTGCTGCAAGATCACGACTTCAGCGTCGAGATTTATTTGCCCAACTTTGAGCCGGTTTTGGGGGAGTCAGATCTAGGAAATGCCATTAGGGGCTGGTACTGGGTCCAGTTTGAACGGAAAGAAGATGCCCAACGTGCAAAAGAGGTGCTGAATGGAACCATCCTGTATGGAAGACGCATCAAGACTGAGTCCATCACCCACCAAGTAATTGTATCTCTAGTGCAACTCTACGGAGGTTATAGGTCCTAATAATTCAAACAGCCTGGCCCAAAACCACCAAAAAGTTCTCGAGATAACGGTACCTTCAAGAACCTTGCATCCCGCTCTGCTACTAGAGCCACCTCCGAGTCCTTTTTATCGGTTTCAGCCGCTCCATCATCTTTTACCATCGAGACCTCCAGCTCGACAGTGAGCTTTTTGACAGCCAATTATCCAGATGAGGCTCGAGCAAAGCATATCAAGTCAGACTATGCAAGCCGAGGTCTGGTCATCGGCCCAGACCTCACTCAGCGACAAGATACAACGTTGACTCCGCTCTCGCAATCAGTCCCGAGCCCTCACCCGTGTAACAAAGATGTTTGGTTACAGACCTTCATCCAAGTGTTCAAAAGAGGCGGGGCCAGGACTGAGATGAAGAAAATCCCAACGACTGATTTGCCAAAGTTCCAGGCTCAAGGCTATTCCCAGTACTTCCACCCGGGCAGACCTACTACCAAGCCTCGAGACTCTGATGTTCGGGTATTCCCAAAATCAATGACGTTTTTGATACTGACGACCCAGTCAAAAGCTCCACAAACCTTTTCATGACTGGCATGATAGCATCCGGTCTGGCTGTCAAATTGATGCCTGGAGAAGAGCTCGTTACAACTCTGCCCTCTAAGAACCTCGTTGAGCTCACCATGCCCATGACTGAAGAAGAGAAGCAGCAAGTTCAGCAAGAAAAAGGACCCAAGTACTACTGGAAGCCTGGCCGTCTTACTGGTGCCAACGCCGCAGCAGAGGCCGGAATCTCCGACCCTTCCTGTGCTTTTTTTTCCCCTCCCTCAGAGATGGATTCCCGCAACCGTTCTGCTACCTGCAGCAGCCACATGCAGCAGCACCCACGCCCTGCGGCCGTCGGAGTTGGCTGGGGTGGCTTCGACAGGTTCCGGGAGTGGCAGCTCCATGGACGTCAGGTCAAACGTGATTCTGTTGAGTACGAGCCATTCAGTAAGGAGCCAAAATCTACACTGGACATTGTCACTGAAACGGGCGAAGTAACGATGACTATACCTATGGATGTTGAGGACTTCAAGCCTGAGCCCAGCTTGTTGAAGACTTTGACGCTCTGGGAAAAGCTGAATGGCGGCAAAGGAAAACAGGTTCGAAGTTGCAAGAAGCGCAAGGATCGCTACACTGGTGTGCGTGGCTAGTAAATTTCCACACCTTTCAGTATCAAGGCCCTGCCATTACTGCCTTTAGAGGCATCCTTTTATAATTTTTCTTCCTTTTCTTTTTTACATAGTGTTGGTGTCTGTTTCTCTGATCATAAGACAACATATACAGTTGATGGACAGACGGAACAGGATCAGGCCCGATATAGATATTGAGACAGACCTGTATCATCTTTATACATGACAGTACATAGTCAACAGCGCTATGCGGACGCAAAACTCTCTAAATACCTGATTCCTCATTTGGAGTGGATGAGGTGCTGGAATGTCTACATGACTTGGTTATACAGCCCAGCATAAGGTTTCCAAATCCTGAGACTTATTTATTCTCACTTTCATTCATAGCCATTATAAGTGATACCTGAATGTTGTAAAAATATGTAACAATAGTCTGCAAATTAATAGGAGAACGGTTCAAGAGAAGGCCGTAAGCATCAAGGCAAACACAGCGAGCTTCAAAAGATGAAGAGTGCCCCTTGAATCACACCGGATGGCCCCCCTGGGGGTGTTTTATCAGTAATTCACATATAAAGAGGTCGTAGAATCTATATTGAATACTCATCAAGTGACCTACAAGTTCCCTTATGTGAGTCATAAACTAACTTTTCCTGGCTCTGTCACAAACAAATTGTATTCAATAGGATGCCATGAGTCTTGTGACCGTTACGCTACATAAGGTAATAAAACCATATATAAAGCACAGCTTTGGTAATTTGTTCAATATCAGAACAACTCAGTAAGTCACAAGTGACAAAGGAACTCTATCTGTTCGTTCTTTATGGTGTTCTTGAGTTGTCTTTGTTTCACGGTTGGTTTTAAGTGGCCATGTTCACGTTTGAGTTTTCTCAACACTCGAGGTTAAATCTAATAAATAGGTAGGTATCCAGAAAAGTCGTGAACTCTTCAAAGCCAGATTCCAAAAAACTTTCTCGAAATGGCTTCTAAAGGGTATAGACTTTTAACAATTGACCATATAATCTGCGAGTTTTCTTCATTTTTATCGAAGATTTTCTCTGGCCCAATGTCTTTAGTATCCCCCCGACTTACACAGCAGTCTCAGTCAATTCTCAATATGGAGACCCATAACATACAGTCGCAGACTATGGAGAATAATCAAAAACCACTATTAACCGCCGGCATGGCAGTTGGTACTGTTACTGTTGAGGCTCCCTTCGATGGGCTCGAGAAAGGCAGGGTGTTGATCCTCAATGGGTTTGCAGGCACAGGAAAAACAAGTATTGTGAAGAACCTCAAAGAACGCCTCCCCGGCCAGGAGATTCAGATAGTCGACAGCCCCATAATGGCCGGACCATATTGCGCTCACCCATATCAGCGAGGGTGTCGATCTGCCTACCTTCATGAGATCCGAAGATTGGCAGACCAGGGCTACACTATCCTGGTGACAGCTTGTCTGGCGAACAACATATCGAGCCAACAAGTCATCGAAGACATTATTGGAATCGTCTCCGGGAAAGACATCTCCGTGTTCTGGATCAACATCAGCCGCCAAGAGGTTGTACAAGATCAACAAATATCGAACTCGACCCGGTTAGCGAACGACGAGTCGAAGACAGAAAAGCCTGATGTCTTGCCTGCTACCGCCGAGCAAGGTCAACTTGTTCTTCCCTCAAGCCTGGGGCATAAGCTGGATGGGATCAGCATGATCACTCGCGTGATGAATATGGGTAATGGCATCGAGGAGGCAGTCAGGAAGGTATCGGAGGTGATGGCTCGAGATGAATGAGACAACATTGGGATTTTGGTCCTTCTTTTGTTCTTTTCGTGGGAGTCTTGGAGTCTGGGCATTTCATGATACCCGGTCCAGTTCTTTAGCATACCATTGAGACTACATACAAGCACATTTGCTGGATTTCGGAGCGCACACAAGACAGCACAAATGAACAATAGTGCAAACTAGAAATGCAGAATAATATTAAAATCATGTTCAGTATGCCGTTGCGTACGTACACAATTATTGAATCAGAGGATCACGCGCCTGAGTCAGTTGGTTGCAAACGTGCAACACCATACCCTGGATCGTGATACCATCGAACAAGCATTCCGAGGCCAATGCAAGTAAGACAAAACAAGGGAATTAATAATGTCATCGTCGGAAACAACGGAGCTCAGCTGGGCCCAATAGAGCGGTCTACCCATGATTATAAGACATGCTATGTCGTCGGCGAGCATTATACTATGAATGCTAGGCACAGGGAAGCTGCATAAGAGATTACTTGGCCCAGTTCGTTTGTACAAGCATAAGTCTAGGCATAGCTCTATTTTCAGGATTAGAAACACCCCGAGCCTTGCTTGACTCGATCGACCCAATCAACGGACAAGTTCTTTGGAATGTAATGGTGTGTCTGACAAGTGACAGCCATGTTCCCAGAGGCCAAGACAGCATTATTCATGGACGGCGAAATAGTAAGCCGTACTCCGTAGCAGTTGGAAAAATCTGAAATGTCGAATTTTTAGCATTACCGAGAGGAGGATCGACAAAGCAGTACGCTTATAGCGAAACGAGACCGACGTCCAAGCGAGCATGTTCCTCGGGGTTCACGGAGAGACTATTGACTATCTCGGCGTCTGTATCGTTTGACAGGCCGGGAGCACAGCAAAGCACAGAATGCACGTGGGTAAGTGCGCAACGGAAAGAAATATCATCATCAGCAGAGGGCAAAAGCAAAAGCCAAAGCAAGCCCTGGCTAATAAGGACATGGGCCTTTTATTAGACGCGGATCAGGAGGACGGGATAAGGAGCATGGACCGGGGGAGAAGAGATTTAGGTAAGGACCTCGCCTAACAATTAATTGCCTTGGCTTGCTTTTGCTTTGCTCTGGGTTGAATGAGAGGCTTTTGGATTATACGAGATGAGCGATGACATGTCTCAATTGACAAGTCGAGTGAAGTATCTGATTCTTGGCTTGAGGCGCATGGTGAAACGGGGATATCGTAAGCAGGAGGAGAGGCAACAAAGAGGGACATAATTATAGTGAGCGAATAGACGTAGAGAGATGCTAACAAAATTCGAGATAACAAAGCCATTGTTTAGGTCAAGCCTTGAAGGCCATTGGTGCTGTGCCTAGAAGGACGCCATCTAGGATTTGAAACGCGCGGCGGCCGTATAGCGTCATGAGCATGGGACACAACTCCAGGGAGAGTGGATAAAAGCCCGGTAGTTTGGTAGAATTTGTGTTATCTACCTCCACAGGCGACATTGACTCGCAGTTAGTGCTTGGTGAGCCTGAACTTGGTCGAGGCTGGTAAGAAATGGAGATGTCCATCACGGCAATTCCTTTGGCCGGTTGATGATGACTGACAAGACAACCAGCACTCCGTAGGTAGACACCTGATGCAACATATGTATGCACTCCATAGTATGTATAATTCAGCTATTATTATTCAGTTTCCTCAGCTGGATTTCTGCAGCAGGGATCAAGTACGAGGCATAAATGCCCAGGATGTCGCTTTGCTTAGACCTTTAACGTTACTTGCCACGGACTGGTGGCGGGATTCATATAAACCGGTCGACCGGTTATCTATTACCAGTATATGCAGCTTCAAGTAACGGTAAGGTTATTTGCCTCAAAAACCAAGGGCCACTGACATGTTGAAGAAAAACCTCGTGGATATTGATCTACTGTTGATCGCTCGGGGGGGTTCCATTGACGGGAAGTCAAACCAATGTTACTACTACCCCAATACCCAAAGTACAGTCTATTTGAAACACATCTGCAGCATTCAGTGGCTTTGCGGCAATACATGTATGGCCTGTTGAGATGTTAAAGTTTGAAAGCAGATTACAACGGCTCGAATTGAGCTTTGGCGTTTTCTCCAGCAATGCCGATCCTCTCTGCACACAGACAGACGAATCTAAAGTGGTGGAGACGTTGCAGCGATGGATTCTAGAGTGCATGCATGCATCATCAGGTAAACCGTACATACATACAGAAGCGAGGAGCAGGGGATGATGCAAATGCAAACGCCTATCGGTAGAGGAACTAGGTATTTGCGATACTGTAACTTGGCGTGACAACAGCTGAAAACATCACCACCGCCTACAAGTTATTGTTTCTTAACGACTTGGAATATTGACTATTGACCTCAACTAACCTGAAGAGCTTGCCAGAGAACGCATTAGCCTTCCTGTTTCGTTTCTCCGCCCAGGGACCCCTGTCGATCGTTTCCGCGCCTGGTCACATCGCCCGTTGAGCCTATCATCGTCTTGGACAGAGAAGGTCAAGCTTCGGACCATACTTCAGACATTGCTATCATCATAGAATGTTTGGAGAGAAACAAGGCCAACTTGATTGAGCACAGCAAGCAATTAGCTAGCCCACAGCCTAATGCACTTGTATGTACTAGGCAAGGTATTTTAGAGCGATATGCTTGTGTCTTGTATGTAATACAAGACATTCCGGAGTTGTCGTTTCTTGTTCATTTCCATAATTAGTGCAATTGATCTCAATTCAAGTTGTCACTGTACTTCAGACACGCGCCGTATTCGACCTCCTTCATCTGGTTTGGCTCTGGTTGATAGATACTGGAATACTTGACCGTTAGGTTTTGAGAAGGCGTTTTGCTTTTTTGTCCCTTCATGTTGCATCACACCCGCAGACAGACACAGTCGTATTGTTCATTACCATCAGAAGATTCTGAACGTCAACATCAACCACAGATAATTTCCCACGTTGGGGACCAGAGCTCACTTTCCGCGATTGCGATTGGCTGCGTTGTCTCTCAAGCCGGGGTTGATAGAGTGGGGGTGACGATCCCTGGCCTCAAGGTCACGCTATGGAAGAATCAGAGACTCAGATCGACTCGAAGAAACGGCAGGAATGGGTTTATTATCCTAGGGCGATGAAGATGTTTGACCTGTAGGAATGGAGTCTCTTCAGAAAACAATGACATTTGCCTGCTTCTGTGATAGTCACTGGAGAAACAGCTGCGCAAATGACTGTAGCCCGGGCAATCAGCAC